AAAAAAAACAAAAAAAAAACATATTTTGTCATCTTGGTCAAAGAGTATATTCAAAAAGTCCACAGCCGCATCTCCCTTCAAATCACTCCCAGGGAAAGGTACAACGTTATTTTAATCGCATGTATGACATATTGTAATTAGTTCTCATTTAAGTTATTTCCATAGAGAATGAGTCAAGCAGCAGGCAACGATGGACAGGCTGTCCCACATGAGGGGCCTGAGCACGTGAGCGTGCACACGGAAGCATCGAGCTTCACACCCCAGCAGGTCCCAGAGTAGGCAGCCCCGGGCGCGGGTCCTGTTCCGGAAGTCGTACTCATCAATCAGCCGCAGTCCGCGGCTAATTTCATGAACTTCCTCTAGCAGTTGGCTGGCACATATGTTCCACCTCCGCCACCACCGCCACCACCGGTGGCTGTGGTCACCATCGAGAAGCTCCGGAAGAACGGAGCTGAGGAAATCTTAGGCGACCAGATCGCCGACCCCATGATCGCTAAACGATGGTTTGAGCAAATCGTACGAGTTTTGGGAAACCTTAGGGTTCCACAAGATCAGCGCGGCGACCTCCCAGTAGCATTACTTCAGGATTCCGCCTACGACTGGTGGAAACGCGTGGGAGCAGACGTCCCTGAGCCCGTGCAGTGGCCCACATTCGATCGACTCTTCCATGAAGAGTACATTCCAGAGCACTTCGTCGAGGCGAAGCGAGAGGAGTTCTTGAAATTCACCCAGGGCAAACTCACACTACCTGAGTATCGCCAAAAGTTTGACGAGCTCGCATGATTTGGGCAAGACCTTGTCCCAACCATGGAGAAGCGGTGCAAGCGCTTCGTGGAGGGTTTACGCCCCGACTTATCAGCCCATCTGATCACTGCTCCTCGGGTTGACATCAATGCACTGTTCAAGCATGCGTTGGACATGAATGCAGCCCTCATCAAGAAGGCCGAGTACGAGCACGCCCAGACGACGCATCCTCGTCCACCTCCACCTAGCTTAAGCAGCAAAGGGTCTCCCTCCGTGCCAAGCAGCCCGCACACAAGCAAGAAGACCAAGTCAACACATGCCCCGTCACCAGTGCCTACACAGGAAAGCGGGAAGAACCCGAGTAAGAGTGGATATCAGTACTCGATCTGCACCCTATGCGGTCGAAGGCACCCCGGAGAATGTTGGTTTACTCAGGGCTTATGCCTAGGATGTGGTCAGGCCGGGCATTTTCGTAGGGACTGCCCAACGAACCCTGGCGAGGCATTTACGGCAGAACCCGAAGCTCCAGTCCCAGCCGCCCAGCCCGCTCAGAGCCAAAGATCGGTAGCAGTGTCAAGCCAGCCCAATAGGCCGACGCTGAGCGCTCAGTCTGGAGAGGCTTCAGCTCGCACAAACGCAAAGCGCGGACGCACTGAGTAGTTCGCACATGACGTAATCATGGTGATCAATGACTAGGTAAATTTCGAGGACGAAATGTTTTTTAAGGGGTGGATAATTGTAACGCCCTACAACTCGGTCTATTAGAATTGATTATTTTAAATAATTAATTACTCTTCCGGTCCAGAGTTGGGGAAAATAAAAAAAAAATTCTTAGAAAAATTATTTGAACACGTCATTAAGTTTGTTTTGACTGTCTGATTCCAAAAACGTAAACGGTTTTCAATTTGGACCCATTCAGGGGAAAAACCGCGTACCGTTCAGGTCAGATTTTACACAACGGAGTGTAATTTAGGGAGATAACTCCCATTCAAAACCACACGCCACTACACCCTTCATTTTCCATAACCCCCATCATTATTCCTTCATTATACCTACATAAATCCCCATAAATTCACATGATTATAAAACTCCCTCCTCCCTTCACCTCCTTCACCAACTTGTAACTCCCATTCAACATCACAACTCTCTCTCTCTAATGGTGTTCGGCCAATCACGGCAGCAGCTAGGCGAGGAGTCTTCCGGCGAGAAGACGAGGAGGTAGAAGAGAAGGAGGGCTACGCGAGGAGTCATTCATTCGTTCGTTCGTCGTGCAACGTTGACAACCGTTCGTTCATCTTGTTCCATCGTTCCGTCAATCCCTTCATTAGAGGTGAGTAGTTGTCCCTCTAATTCTAGAACATCAAGTCATAATCTATGTCGTTATATTCATAGGAATGTCGTGCGCAACCTACGTAGAATCTATGCATGTTCGTAGGTTAACCATCAAACATACGTGTGTCCGTGTTATCAAGTTATGTACTCGTTATTATAAATGTTTTGAAACCTTGTAAGTTATTCGATTATCTAGCATGGAAATGTAAACATTCGTTTCTAAAACTTCCAACG